GCAAAACATCCCCAGAAAGCTTACCATCACTAACTTACCCCAACTTAACAGTCTGCAACAAATAGCAATTCCTGCTGTGTCTAATGCCGCAACCTCTCAATTGTCTCTTGTTTTTATCCACCTCCAGCTTATCGCAATCCTTTGCCCTTCCAGCTCCTTTTCCAATTCCAATTTGTTTCCCTTTTTTCATGAGACATCTGTAATAAAAGCAATAAGTTTCCCAACCGAACTGAAAGTGACGGTGCTGCTGACCGACCGAGTCCCTCTTGCTTAGCAAACAGCAGACCTTTCTCATCCAACTGCAGTTTAACCATGGCCTTTACGTTTTCCTTAAGCCGTCTTTCATACTCTGGCAATTTTTAAGAGCTGATCTTTAGTGCGAAAATAAAAGAAACCCCTCACAACTAAACCGTCTATCCCTGCCATAACAGACTAGGTCTGAGGCCTTAACAGACAATGTTGCCCAGATCAAGAGTGCACGACGGAGAAAATGATAATGTCCGCCAAACTAATGTTCAAGTCTTCCTATACCTAGACTGCCTCTATACCAAAAGAATCACTGAACCCTGGTCGCCATGCAGACTAGCAGCAGGCTTTTGAACCGCTTAAATCTGCAGACCAGTTAGGCCCCCAGCGAGCTGGTTACTCACCTGACAGCTCTGGATGCGTCACCGATACGACTGCTCTGACCGCACACCACACAAATAAATATAACAAATAAATAAATAAATATTAAATATAATAACAACCTGAAAAAGAAAAAACAACGAGCCCAAACGGACCACATCGCTATATCTACCAAGGGAAACTCCACAAAAGCCCAAACTGAACACACTAGAGGACCACGCAATGAATGCTATTGGCTCAAACCTGCCCACTCATGTCAAGGACCAACCTTCCCAAATCAACTTTCCTATCCAAAATGCATCGCCCAAACAAAGGGTGTGCATGACGTGACCATTACCAAACGATGGCCTCTAACAACTGAAATTGGACCAATGAACCCTGGCTTGTCACAGACCGGGCCACACGGTCATAACAAAAGAGGGAGATGCACACAACCAAGCCAATTAACAAGCTTTTTTATTAATTTATAACATGAGAGGGAAAATTAACAGTGGCATGTGGAAACGGTACGTCCAGCAGAGTAGGAGAGTGCATGCGTGCAATGTTGTATGACGCTGCAACATAAACCTCAGGGAGGAGAGAGAACCAGCAACTGAGCTCCATGAGGTTTTTTTAATCCTAGGGCACATGGCCCCCTGTGTAGACAGACAGGCAGGGCGTCACACAATGAAAAGTTCAGCTTTGTCCAAACTCTCAACTAAAATGCTTGTGGGCTGTTCAGATGTCCTCCCAGTTCCCCATCGGTGTGAATGTGAAGGAGTGATGTCTGTCGTAAAACCTTAAACATGTGTAAAACATTTTTGTAAAATAGTAAATCCTGAATCAAGTAATGTAAAAAAAAAGACAAGAAGTGTTCACAGTACATCTCTTTTTCTTTTCTTTAGATTTCTGTGATGCAGTTTGAGTTTGTGGTTGTCAACATCCATGATGTTAGTTTTCCTCTATTCACTCCAGAGAACTCACAGTTACTGCTTTCATAAACACACATAAATCACTTGCTGCTTACAAGACTTTTCCTGGAACCCTTCACGGTTAAATTGAATGTGAAATGAGTTGATTTAAAATTGAATAGAAAAGCAGAAACGTATTTATATGAAAATGACACCGACTATTGCCTCAACCTAAAGGCTTTTACCATGAGGTTTGAGAAGTGGAATGATCGGCATCAGTGATCAGTGATGAAATTGCACCGTTCAACCCGGTGGAATCTCCTCGGAGCACTAAGGAGACTTGCTGTAACCAAAATGATGGGCCCTGTGTACAAGGGGGGGGGGGGATTCCTCTAAGACCTTAAACACCTGTGAGGTTCTTTTCAGAGTTAAGAAACCATTTGAATCCAAATAAAAACACAGAAAAGCTCCAGCTCAACATTACTTTAGAAGGCTCACTGAAAACTGTTGAAGCAATCCCTGCTGTTCCCCAGTCATCTTAGAGGTATGGAGGAGGCTTTACCTCCATTCACAGCTTGATCATATAGATCTAGTGAGTTCAATCGCCTCTCAGACATGATGATAAAGCATTTTTTGGCTCCAGGTGCCACAATGTGACTCAGCTTGCTTTCACTTTTTTGTAGCTCTAGAAAGATGCTACACACACATATACACACACACACACACACACACACACACCTACACTAATATATTCATGTTAGATGCTCACCACATACATGTGCACCAAACGAAGTGTGTATACGTGTTGATGGAGTCACCCCTTCTGCCCAGTGCAATGACTGCATAGCACACGTTATTCAAGGCCTATTGACTGAGTTCATGAGCAGACTGATAGGCGTGTGCACGTGCTGAGGAGCAGGTTTTTGAAGCAGGAGCCATAAAGCAGAGTGGGAGGCCTTCCTTTTCCTTGTCGCTGCGCCAGTCACATGGCTCATCACCACACAGACGTGAGTAGGAGCACATGGGGAGCAGATCGTCTGTTTCATATGTGTCGTGGTCTTTCTTTCTGCGTCTGGGTCTTTGGGTGTTGTTCAAGATCATTATCTCAAGTTTATTGCAGTGTGTTTTATTTTCGAAAGCTTAACATGTTCCTCACTTCTTTGAGACTTCAGGTTAGGCATGCAGTGGAGACAGTTAATTGTAGAGATGTCAGAGTTCCTCATGAAAGAGTAGGCTGTGTGTGTTTCAGGTACTGGTAGAACAGAATAGTGCAAACAGCTTCATATTTACACGCCTGCCCATGCATGACATTGGTTTCTCTGTTAGACAAACACAATGAGAGAAGGCAGAACATTTTGTCTTCAGCTTGACTCATTGTGATAAAAGATAGCAGACGGAAACACATGCCTTGACATCAGTGACTGGAAGAATTTGCTGAAGCCTCTTATGCAGTTATGCATCATTTGTTAATGGTTGGTATGCGACAGTACGTCCTTGGCCTCCGCTGCCACATTCCCACCTTCGGGGAGCCACAGAAAACCCTCTCTATGAATTCACCTGTCTTCAACATGCTGCAAATACTCGTTTATATCATAACCCAGTAAAATATATCTGCATGTTTAATCCCAATGACTCCAGTTACACAATGGCCATTGTGGCTTTAATGGATCTTTGTATTTAGAGAAAGGATTACAAGGCAGGGGCACGAGGGAGCAGCAGCTCTTCTCACCACAGCTGCGACTGAACAGCGGCTCCAAGTGGTTAACGTTGGTTACTGCGTGGACATGTCAAATATTTGTGAGAGCCACAAGAATTAAGTGAATTCACAACTGTTCATGCTGCACACTTTGCCTCTTTAACTATATCAGTTTTGTTTTGGTCAATTACCTTTTTGTGTGATTCTACTTCCGGTGAACCAGCGTGCGCAATACAGCACAAAGCATCTACCACCTAAATGCTACAGAGCCATAATTATTGGTTACACCTGTGTTTTAACCTGCAATGACATGTGGAAATGGCTGCTGTGAAAGGGGCCTATAGCACCTACAGCAAGCCTTGTGAAGAATAATGGCCTGAGGTTCATAAGGGAGGGGGTGCTTTGACTATTTTAAAAATTCAACACAAATGTCTGGAAGCCAAATGTCACCCAGAAGTGAGTCAGGGTGATTCTTGGAAAAGCAGAGATAATGTTACCAGCATACGGTTTCTTGGGTAGTGCCAGTAATCGCACTCATCCTTCAAGTTCACTTCTCCATGATGTCTGACTCACTGCCTGGATCCTCTTCCGCTGGGCTGATGATGCGTCTGTTTCCAAATAAATATGATGATGCTTTTTTCCCCCCCAAAACATGAGATCAGCAAGACACCTCATCACAATGTTAATACAGCAAAAAACTGGACCACATACCTGTGTACCTGATGAAGAGCAAATTAGGGTTCAAAACAGTTTTTACATACCTGGGAAAGAAAGATGTGCATGTGTTTGCACACTAATTGGGAGTTAATGAAGCAAACATCTGGACCACATCTTCTAATTTACTGTTATCATAGGGAGCCAGAACTAGGACTTTGTATCTCATTAAAGTGACACTCCAGCCAAAATCCATTTGCTGAGAAGGAAACACCCACTGTAGACCTTTAGGTTTCTGAAATATGAACAACTTCTTTCCTCAGTCCCAATTTCCTAAATCTCAAAGTCATATCTTAACATTGCTTGTTTTGTTCGACGGTACTCAGTTCACCATCACATAAGATTAAAAAAAAGCAACAAACTCTCACAAGTAAGAAGCTCGAACCAGTGAATGTTTGTTCTGCTTCGATCAACGGACTCAGACAGATGCAGATGGTCAACACAGAAGTAGCTGATGTTGCAGGAATGGTTTGAGAAGTTTCTATGCTTGTTTTTTTCCCCATTCTTCCCAAGAACAACCTTTGCCTTTTATCAACTGTCTTCTTACTACAACACAGAACCAAGTGCAGAACTCCATCTGTCGATCTTGCTCCTCGTGCTCTCCTGTCACTCAGAATATCTCCCGCCTGACGGAGACCTGTTGCACGAGATCACAGACAAGTGAGCCTGGCTGCGCTCTGACATCAGCAGCAGCTTTATCCTTCCATCAGCCAGTGCAGACATACTGGTACACGCTGCTGGCCTGTCCTATTGTCATTCAAATGTTGAGCTGTTGATTGAAGCGCTTATCTCTCCAAATCGGAGCGTGTAAAGGTATTACTGCTGAGGGAGAGCGTCGCCACACCAACTTTGATATGGAAAATCACATCTGTGAGCTCCCAAACAACATTATCTACAGAGAACTGCATATACCAGGAAAAACCTTTCCTGCAACCCCTCCATCTGTTGTCTTGGATTAGCTCCATGTTTGTTCCCCTTTTTTTCTGATCTTCAAAGACAGAGAGAGCAGGGAGGGCGAGAGGCAGGGGGGGATTAGAAAAGGGAGGAAAATAAAGAGCCGAACACACATCTTGTTAAAAGTAAGATTTGTAAGCTTATTATTTTGTTATCATGATCATTGTTATTACCTCTGTTATGGTTTGTTCAGTTTACAGTTTATTTTCAAGTTCATTTAAAATCATTCCAGTCGAAGGTAAACATGATTGTAATTGTTGTTTCCAACATTATTAAATGCTTTTTTTTTTTCTTTTGCCAGACAAAGATCGGTCACACTCTCATTCGTACGCACATGGGAAGAGCAGAAACAAAAAGACTGTTGCTCACTCACTCACACACACGTACACGCTGACACACACAAAGACGGACAGCATCTCACTCTAAAGCTCCTGCACACACATATGAAGTGATTAACAGAAATGAGCTCCGACTTACTCTCCCTGACACACACACACACACACACACACACACACACACATTCAGACGGGCACACAACAGCACACTTTCTTACTCTTGTGTCTAAGTTCTTAAGTGCAACTTCTTGAAGAGTGATTTACCCTCTCGTCTTCAAAGTCCACACCAGGACCCAAAACCTTTCCTACCTGGCCCTCCCTCCAAGAGCCATAAGTACACCTGGGTTGCTTCACACTCTGTCTCCTAATGCAATGTTCTCAATGATGCTCCAAAACCACATGGTCCCTGTTCGTTCCCACCTGTACAATCTCTGGTCTGGTTGACAAAAGCTATTGCGTATCAATTGGACAATGTGTGCTTTTGTTGTTTACTCGAGAGCTGTCCCTTGAAGTTTTGTTGATCTCGCTAGCTGACACACTCCTTTGGAAAAAAAGCCACAATACTCCCAAACTACAAGCACACAATGATACAAAAAATGAATTCCTCAGGATTAAATACACACATATCAGTGGTTCCCAACCTGGTGGACTGGACGGTGCTAAATGCGAGATTGGGAGCATTTCTATTGCCTCTTAACGGCTCTCAACATGGCAAAGGCTGAGCCGGCGTCTCGCAGCAAACGGTGCTGACGGCACTAACAGTGCAAACAACTGGAAAAGTGCTGACAGAGCTATCGGTGTTTACCTGAGGGAGAACCGGAGGCTGGCTGCTACACTCGTTAAGGACGTCATCGGTCAGACAGTTATCAGCTGTTACCGCCGTATGAGCTCATTTCAGAGCAGCGGCCGTGTGCTAGCCAGTGGGCCACGCTCACATGCACGAAACATGCACTAAAAGCACGCGCAGCCGGCCTGACTATGTGAACAAAGCAAGAAGAAGCTTGGATAACAACACACTGAGGGAGAGCATCTTCATTCTCTGCTCAGGTAGACATTACTCCACCATAGCAAACAGTTGTCTGCTGCTACATTAATGCTCGAATGAAGCACCTTTAAGCAGAATTGAAATATCGCACAAATCTGATTTATGATTTAACACTTTCTTCTAATCTTTCAAATGTTTCTTTTAAATAATTATACCTCTTCAGGAAGTATAATCATCCCTTCGTTAAACTGGTCACTGACTCCAATCCAAACCAACCCGGGTGACATCATCAGGGTTGTTCTCTCAGAGTTCCCTACGGAGCCACAGGAGACATTTTACAACACGTGACATAAGTGTCCTTTAAATGGGTCACAAGCCAAAAGGGTTGAGAACCGCAGTTATGTCAATGAGACTCACAGAGTGCAGCCCAAGTGTACATATGGCTCAACCCACCCAATCCTCCAACTTTTAAACCCCTGTCTCCCCCTCAAGATAACCAAAAATACACCACAGTAAACTCAACAAAATAATAATAAAAACATTTTAAAAAAAACACAAGAAAACTGAGTTTCGAGTTTGTAAAATGCTTACATCACATTTCACCGTGGCAAATTTCAAGACATTGTTCCTCCATTCTTTGTCCGTTGTGACATTTACACGAGTACTTGAACGCCTCACACGCCGGTGGGTGACCTGGTCGGCCAGCTCGCAGTCCATCATCGTCGTCGCCGTCGTCATTCTAATCTTCCTCACCGTCATCATTGTTATCAGCTACTATGGTAAGCCATGCCCTACCAGAGTCCATCGTTTGGCAGGGTGGTGTAACCATGGTGAATAAGGTGCTAGTTGCTATGGAAACGCTATTCTGAAGCACCCGACTGGTACAGTTGTTTTAGTTTTGAATTGCCGAACCTCCCCACCAAAGCACTTGGTTTGTATGTATTACTTGTTGCTTTAGTTTGTGTTTTTATTTTTATTTTTATTTTGCATTTTCATAAGATATACAGTATGTGGATGTATTTTCAGGCTGTTAGTACCACTTCAAATAGTCTCTCTCGCTCTCAAACACACACACACACACACACACATGTGGCACACTCAGACACTCTTTCAAGCACACACAAACACTCACACAGTAACAGAAAACCGTTTACATGTGGCATCTGACGAATGGGTTTACAGAGATGAGATTGGTAGAGCGGAATGCTACCCCAACACTGATCAGTGGAGAGCTTCTTATTGTCCGGGACTGGACCTGTTAGTAGTGTGAGTGACTGTTCTTCCTCCTTCGTCCCTCCTCCCTGCTCCTCTTGCTCTCCTCCGAACAGCCTGCAGTGGGGTCGAGAGAGGAGGGCAGTATTGCTGAGTGTATCCGTGGCTGCTCCGGAGCCATCGTGTGCTTCTTTAACCTCAGAGATGACGGAGGACTAACCGAGTACTTCAGTGGCAGGACAGAAAAGTAACACAGCAACTGATGACGGCAACAAACCCTTGCAGTTTCGGTGGCAACGGCACATCTACAGTAAAGCCCCTTTTGTTTTTTTGTTTCAGGGGATGACTCATCGTTTGAATGCTCTGACCCCGTCCAGCCCCGCTGCCTTCATTAGAGACGTGCTGGAGACTGATGCCACAGCAGACAGAGTGGAGATGACACTGGAGGCGTCTGGAGTCCCAGGGTGCGTTCATGAACTATCAGCTACTTTGACTAGTCTCCTACACAGGTCATCAACTGGTCCCCCCCTCCCCCCTCCTCCTCCGTAGACTGGGACAAGTTCCCAACATCAAGATCAACAACAACAACAACGACAACAACAGCAACAACAAAAGGCAATTTCAGTTCAGTTGTGATGAAATCTATCTGATTCAGTTCATTCGAGGTCAGTTTAATTCTTGTTGCAAGAAACTATGGCAACTACCGCTAAGGAAGTGTTTCAGCCAATCAGATCCAGGGTAAAGTCTTCAAATGGTTTTCAATTGGGTGGGTGGATTTGATGCTTTTTCTTCTTTTTACTAGGATTTCAGCCTCGCCTCTCCTGGTGTATAAATGCTTTGTGTGGTGTGCACGATTCAACAAGCTCAAACTTTGGCCTGTTCAGACACACACACACATAAACACACACAGACACACACAAACACACACTCACTCACACACACACACACACACACACAGTCTACCACACCTGTATCTGTATCTGTATGCACAGGCTGACTTTGGTGCAACATATGGTTCAGGCTGTGTCACCGAGTGCCTGAAGGTCTTTCAACTCCACCAAAACCACACTCCCTCAGACACACAGCTGTACAAACACACACACACACACATACACACACACACACACACACACACACACACACACACACACACACTGTGATGCTTGAAAACTCTCATTTCTTGCTCCTCTTGCCTTCTGCTCTATTTATGGTATCTTAACTCTCCTCTCCTCCTGACTCCCCCCCTCCTCAACTCTCCCATCCGCTGATACTGTACACCCTCCCAAGGCTAGTTGGCATGGTGACGCTGATGGGATGGCCGTTGCTAGGAGATGAAGAGAGAGGCCAGAAAGAGCATCGTCACGGTGAGGAGAAGGCGATCCCTGGATGGGCTGCTTCCGCTGACACTCTTCTCCAGCTTGGGAACGAAAGGGTTAAATTCATCTGGAAAAAAACAGAAGCAGAGAGAAAGAAGAATGACGGAGAGTGATTTTATACAAGCTCATTACAATGACAGCAGAGGGGTTTTTTCTGCACTTTAAAAACTTAAAATAAGGCAAAAGGAGTTTATCTGTGCTTCTATTTGAGCCATAATCTGCTTACACAGCACGGCTTTTTGTAAAACACTTTTGAAATGAAACAAAAGGCAGCTGGCTGCACAGAGTCACACTCCCTCTAAAGTCTGCTGTAGAGACAACACAGCAGCAGGGCCATGGCAGACTGCTGCAGCTGTTATCAGAGAGCTCTTATTGTTCTAATAAAGTGACACATACTTTTGCACACAGACACGCTGTGTGTACAGTACCCCCCCCCCCCCATGTTCACCTGGGGATGTCCTAAAAATAGTTTGCGGCCTTTTGTTGCGGGCTACATGCCGAGCATTGACGTCTAGTCGGTGTGCAAAAACACCAGACTGTTCGCTGCATGCCTCCACTTATGAGACACACCTGCAGCGTGACACACCCTCTGTAGACACTTGATTAATGAGACCGGAGAACAGACAGCAGCATCATTTACTGTCTGAACATGGGACGGCTGATGGTGATTAGTGTTAGTCTGTTAACGGTCTGATGGCACCGAAGTGGAGTGGGGGATATTCTCAGTGTTTCCACGCGGCGCCATATCTAGCTCCGGAATATTTCCAGCAGCTTTGTGGGTCAGACAGCAGAGTAATGACTGGCTGACACCTGGTTTTAGAGATGGTCTCTTCTGGGTATGCTCTGCTGGCCGATGTAATGAGGTCTATGCAGCAGTGGAGCACAGGTTAAATGCTTTGACCGCTCTGTAACAGAGCATGCAGCCGACGGGTCAGGACACTGCTCTTTTGGCGCTGACCGACAGAGGAATGTGGTTTTCAAAGACACGAACGGCAGAGACTGCGGAGCATCTCGGAAAACTGGTTCTAAAGTGTGGCTCTACCCATCGCCTCATACACACTGTTCCTCATTGAATGTCACAGATAAACACATCATTATTGGAGAGGTGTTTGTGCAGGGGGAATGTGACGTACATCATGACCTTCTGACACATCAGCTCACACGAGGAAGCTGTGTGTATTCCTGCGTTTGTGTGTGTGTGTGTGTGTGTGTGTGTGTGCTACATTTTGGACAAGAAAAGCAGGCAACATCCACCTGATAATGTGGAAGCTCAGACACTAGAGGCGTCTATGAATTTTAATGTCATGTTGACAAGAACAAGAAGGAGATATCTTAGTCTCTGATTGTGTTCATGAGTGTCTGTCTGTGTGTGATGTGTACGTGCGTGTGTTTATGTATAATGATTGACCTGAAAAGCAGAATCCATTGTAAATTGTTACGCAATTCACGAGTCTTGAGTGACAAATACTTCATGAGAATAATGATCTTTAATTTTAGTTGTAAGAGAGTTGTTGATTCAACTATGTGGCAATCGTAGACGTTATCATTTGTGGTGTGCCAAGATCGGAATGTCCTCAATAAAGGGTCATTCCAGTGATTTAGTACTGCAACTCTATATAGTTGGAAACATAATTGAAACAATAGTATCTTTTATTGTACCCTCCCTGACTGGTTAATACCCATGTCTCTCACCGGAAGAACGTAACAAAGCTCCTACAGAGCCACAAGAGACAGCACACAATTATTGTTAGATGCCGAGTAGTCCTCCTTGTAACTGGTAAATTGACTTCAACAGGCATCTGTCAGTCGACAGTGTTCATATATGTAATTTAACTGCACCCTCTGGAGTATGACTGTAAGCAGAAATAATACGTTTTAGTTGATACCACTGTTTTTATTTTTTTGCCCCATGATGCCAATTGTCACATTTTTATATTGTTAACTATTGTGCCAAGTCATATCCCTACTAAGCATCAGGGAGACGACAACAAAAGAAAAAGCATTTGCCACTTATATAAATATAAAACGTCTTTAAACAGTGGTTTAAATGCCTCTCAGGCATCGGGTGCTGATTCTCAATCCCAGAAGCAGTTTAGGGTTGTGACATAACAGCATCAGCCTAATTGATGCCCCTGAGCAATCAGCTGGCACACCTGGTGTTAATTAGCTGTTGATATCTCTTTCTGGTGTTTTTTTAAAGGAAAACAGGAAGCTTGAAGCTGCAACTGCTGAAGTAACTCTACTCTTTTACGTTTTAAAAATCAGTGGATCAACTTGTTTTTTATCCTTAAAATGATATACATGACTGCAAATATGAAACCCAGATCTTTATATAAGATATTCTGAAATGAAACTAAAACATAAAACACAACTGTTTCTACAAATGTTCTAAAAACAGAGGCGACGTTCAGTTTGAACTGTGTTCTGCCTGCTGATACTCAACCTGATGTAAAGTAACCCAATCTCTCCCTCGCTTAAAGGAGTGCTAATTGGTAGAATAAACCCCATTAAAGAAAGAGCTTCTGATTTTCTCCGCTAATGGCCGGACCTGACCGTCAGATGCAGTAACCGGAGCCAACAGGGTTGGTAAGTGAGTATCCTCCCACTGAAAGCCATCAGTAATCACATGGCTGCACGGGGAGCTGCTAGCGCCATTCCATCTGTGTTGTAAATGAGATCTAAATGAAATCTAATACGAGCGGCCCTATTCAGGAGGGAACCACTGTTGAGCTGTAGACACTGATTGAAAGGGGCAGCGCCCAGGAAATAAACTGTGAGCAGTGAAGGGGAGAGGGACGGGGCGGTTTACAACATCAGCCTGCAACACTCAGCTTAGTTAAACATTTTCAGACACGATAATCAGGCAGATTTTGAACCGAGCGGTTTGCGCGGCGCCTCGTGTTTGTGTGAATGTGCTGATGTGAACTTTGAATAACAGTAATTAAAACTACGACGTGACGAGTCTAATCGGCAGTCAGGAGGGCCGTGAATGAGGGAGAGGAATAGGAAACTGCACTGCTTCTTTGTTTTCAATTCATTTCACAGCTCCCTGCTGATTTCCTCACTTCCTCTTGCACCACTTGAGTTCTCCTATTAATTTAATTGGCAACGCAGCACTACAGGTGAAAATGACCCACAGGAGCTGGGGTAATTTGTGCTCTGCTATTGTGTCAGCCGTCCGCTTAATATTAACAGTATTTTCACGTGGGTCACATTCCTTATCTGTTCAAGTACGTCCAATACAACTATTCTTCGTGTCTGTATATTCTTCGGTGTAACTTGTAATTAAGTATCTTGAATAAAACTCTATATGTGTCACTGGAATTAGCATATTTTGCTTTGAGTTTAAAAATAATTGCAGGAAAGGAAAGAGGGCACACAAGAGGTGAGGACATTTGATAAGAATGTAATATGTGTTGGTGTAGTGAAGCAGAAGAATGGGTGAACTAAGGCCAATCTGCGCCTATCAGCTTAACCAAAAGCAGAAAAAAAAACGTATAATAATTTCAGAAAAATGCGGGAGCATTAAATGCATACTATAAACCTTAGATTAATATCGTATTTACTGAAATAAAAAGTTAAAAGATGGGAAACTCAATTTCACACATCAAAAGGTGAATAAACTGAGTTTTGGTGGCTTTCCTCTCCACTGCATTGGTACTTGTGCTCTGGGAGGAAAAATGGCGGATGGGAATTAAAGAGCGGGAGGATGCGGAGGGCATGGAGAAAAGAGATGGAGCGAGGGAGAAAAATGAGATGAAAGGATGATGGAGGGAGGAAAGGAATTGAGGGAGAAGTATCTCGACAAACTCAGGACACGCAGCCGTTTGCTGCAGTCAGTGATGAGTTTCCTTATGACAGTTATGAGAACAGACTGATTTATTACGCAAAAGCATGCATGTGAGCATGCACGCACACACACACACACACACACACAGATTAACAACAACACAGCACCATATTTTACAGGTTACCTTGGAGAAAAGTGTGACAGGGGGCGAGGATGTTGATTGATACCCACATGTCTGGTTTTGTAATGGGTGGCAGCTAGCTTCGACCAAGCTAGCTGCACATGCTGTTATTGTGCCGCACATAACACTGAGAAGCAACCACATGATCATCTGAGAGATTATCCTAAAGTCTGTCACTTACTGATTTACTGCTCAGCTTCTCCCTTAAACCACTGCCAAATGTCATATACGGTTCCAGAGCAAACAGATTTAGTATGATTCACATGAGCAGTTGTGTAATCCTGACGAGAGCAATGCAAGGGGCCGAGTGGGAGCACTTATCAAGATCTAGAAGTTGACTACAGGAAATCTGAATTGAGTTATTTTTTTTTTTTTGGCAACTAACCATGAAACTCTGTGTTCTCTGCATATCCGGGTGAAAACGTTGAGTGTGAAATGAATATGCATGTAGTTGTTTAGCAGGATCAGCAGCTTGCCAAGCCAGCTGGTGCTGTGAAGTTTTAACTGTGCCGACGGTCTCTTTTGAAAAACGGCACATTTCACTTCAGCTGGCCCCTTCTGATGCTGCATGGTGAAGGAACTGGTCACTCCGCCATCAAATATCAACGACCAATACGCTGTCAGCATTTAAAAGGATAAGGCTTGTGATATCCTACATTTGTGTAGTCGTCTACAAAGCGTGTAACTTCCACTGGGGCTGGTGGGACAACAAGTTCCCATTTATTAAAGCTTCACAGTTAAAGGGACTCACTGCAATGTTTTTAACCAGAGCCCTCTTATTGCCTGCAGGCTTCTGTGTCCCAGACATTCATCGTCCAAAAATAATAATTATTAACATAAATGAGGCACACCAGGTGTGGATAACATGTTCCTCCCTACATACACCACCCTGTAGCCGCCATTACTCACTAGATCACCAGAAAGCCTCCCAATAATTGGGCTTGTGGCTGAGTGCCACAGACAGGTTATGAAGATCAGAATGTATTGAAAAAAATATATTTTACTGTATTCATTTATGGAATTTGTTGAAAAAAACAGAATAATTGTCTGCTTTGAAAAGTGTGAATCATATGATTTGAGGCTGATGTGATCTGAATGGCAAACATGAGTCTATGTCTGTTTTTATGAATCTAGACGGCTCGGATGAATGTGCTCCACGCTTACTCAACTTCAGGTGTGCTTAAGTGAGTGTGTGCATGACTCACCAATATCGTCAATGTTTAGGCCTGGTCTGAGCGTGTAGTCTGGCTCTGTAGGCTTTGGCTCATCATCTGCGTCGGAGGCTAAAAGAGAAAGAGAGATGAAGATGAGTGAGACGGAAGAATAGGGAGGGAGAGGGCGAGGGAGCGTGGGTTAAATCATTGCTCTAAATCAAAGGATTTTAATTATGCCTCATTTGCTCTGTATGGTTCGGCTTGGCCCGGCTTGACTCCACTCACATTTTAGTCGCTATTCCCAGTAGCTTGGCTATTTACAAATGTCGGATTTGCAAGATGTCCCATGTTGTGCAAGTCCTATCCGCAACTTTTGCTAATGGAAACTCAACACGAAGCGAGTCGAGCTGAGCAGAACCGTGGCAGACCAGGCAGTGGAAATGCGACATTCGATTTAACTTGACACCCTGAGAGAGACATGCAAGAGAGCGGCAAGGCAAGGGCGCAAGGGGTTAAAAAATTCCCCTCGACAGGCTGACAAGCCACAACATCACCAGCAGCATCCCTGAGAGAGAGCGAGAGAAGAGGGAAGCTGAGGGGAGGCAGATCAAACTGAAGAGAGGCAGTGTTTGAAAAGGGAAGGAGAGCGAGGAGGGGGGTGAGAGGGAGGAGAGGTTAATACTACAGGGCTGTGGAAGTTAAAAGGACCGGACAGGCCAGGGATCAAAGTCTGTGTGTGTGTGTGTGTGCGTGTGTGTGTGTGTGTGTGAGTGAGGGAGAGAGGGTTGAGAGATTGAAGGAAGGCAGGAGAGTGAGCGAGAGAGGTTAACACTACATATACATAGCCACCCACTGACAGCACACAGCAATAAATTGATTCTGACAGGGAGCGAGGGAGGAGGGGGGAAAGAGGGGGAAAGAGGGAGTCGAGCGGAGGAGAGGAGAGAAGGGAGGCGGGGGTGAGGGCCTTCAAAGCTGGAGCTGCTCCTCTCTGCTGCTGCTGCTGCTGAGGGAGAGCGGGAAGAGAAAGAAGAGAGAGACAACAGGAGCAAGGGGGATCTGTGCTGTGTGTGAAAATGCTGCAGGAGAGTATTAATAGCTCCGACTGATTTAGACTGTATTTAGATTATGTATGCATCTGTATGCAGCAGGTGTCTGTGTGTGTGTGTGTGTGTGTGAGTAATGTGTGTTAGTGTGTGTGTGTGTGGGGGAGGGAGGATTCGTGGGGAGCCCGGAGCCTGCCAGATGGGTAGAGTGGCCATATGGGTGCAGGTACGGTATTCAAACAGGTCCAAGCATTGCATTACACGTAAAACACCACGCACGATCGCACACACACACACACACACACACACACACACACACACACACACACACAAAGTAAAAGACTCACCTGTGGAGCAGCAGACGTGCACTCGTAGTCTCAGACAGCTGCGGCCGTGGTGATGGGTGGGCGTGGCTGTAACAACATGAAACGCACAATAGATCAACATGTGCCTTCACGTACGTTTCATGTTTTCAATTATGGGGTATTCCAAAATAATAACTGACCAACGTTGGGTTTTTGCCGCTTCAAATGTGAACACCAGATCAAAAGTAATGCACCGATCCATACTGACCTCAAGAAACAGATTACAGCCCGCCAGAAATGTTCCACATTAAACACAGTTAACATTCAATTTTACGCATAACATAAAACGTTATGTGCATCCCTAAGCTTAAGTTATTTCTTACTCTCCCAGGAGGCAATGGAGCACACAAGCTATCATTATGCAGTCACTGTATGTGACTTACAGCTGTGTTTACTAAAGATAGTCAGTCTTGAAGTGTATTGTAGGCTACATATTACTGCAGAGGGAAATAAACGAGCGCTCTTTATGTGAAGAGCCAAACGCATTCAGCTCTAGTGGCGCCCTCCTACCTCAAACAGGCACTGTGGAAGGCTTACCAAGTGTTCTCAGTGCAGGTTACTAAATGTGGCAGATAGTAAAAAATACAGAATGTGGATAGCAAGACAAGACTTTGAAATGTTTGGTTGACACATCATATCTCGTCTGGAGACGTCTCCCATCAAGTAATGTGGGTTAAATAAATGTATTCCTGGGCTGAAATATTTCTTTTTAAATTGTTTCATAACGAGCTAAAAGTTGATTATTTATACAGTGTGGTATTTGGCGCAAGGTGTTGTGAGTTCATTTGATTAGCGATCAACAAAATGGATGAGCCTGGCTTGACGGGAGAGTGATATGATCAGATGTGAAACAGCAATCTGTTCTCCTGAAATTACCCCGAGGACGGTCTGACTGAGTTAATCATCCAATCCCCTTCACAATAAAAGAATAACCTGTTCTAGCCTCACAAGCTTTTACTATAAATTACAGTATTTTCATTTATATTTCGAGGACACACACAAGCGCTCTACAGTGATGTGTAGTGACATGATATTGGATCGAGCCCACTCACAGATGTAGTAGTACTCCTGTCCAACGTGGAACTCGTAGCCCAGCGAGAAGGCGCTGTAGCGCTGGAACTTCTCCGAGAACTTGATGGGCGCGTGGGGGGCGTGGGGCCGGTTACACTCCCACCTCTTGAAGCCCAGCTGGGGGTCGCAGTTCCTGTACCCACGATTACTGACCATGTAGAGGATGTACTGCTCGCCGGTGCCCACCATGCGCTGGCTGTCGTTGTAGTGAGGGCAGTAGATGTCCAGGTAGTCGTTGACGTTCACCTGCATTGTGTAGCCCTCCCTACGCAGACTGGACACGGAGAGAAAGAGAGTGCAAACAGTCAGAATAATCACAGAGCTGCAGAATACACGTATCATATCATATTAATATTATTATTTGACCAATTAAAACATTAAAATAAGCATAATAACAAAACTGCAGAATACACATTTTCATTATAATTATCCAAATTAAAGGTGTTTCATTTCGACAACAGGCAATTTTAAATGAACTAGCGTCAACACATCATAATTGGACGTGTCACAAAATGTTTTCCAGAATTCCAGAAGGAAAGAAACGAATGGAACATTTTCAATCTTGTGCTTCATCAATAAATGCTATTTATGAAGTGAAATTCATGGATTGAATGCAGCGCTTAGCAAACACACACAATAAATAAAGTAATTAACATACAACACACAGGAAAAAATACACTTTGTAAGTACTACAAGCATATTATACACAATATTTTACACTAAATAATACCACTAATATTTGAATCTCCAATGGCACACACACACACACACACACACACACACACACACGCAATGTGGCTACAGTATTTGTCGTATTTTATCATAGTTAGCATGAAGTTTCACATTTAAGAGGAATGCTTTCAAGTGGCTCTAATTTCCGATTCTGTGTGTAAATACAAACATTGTGTGGGTCACCCCTCACATCATTGTACGGTACGCTGCATTTCAGCTTGAATGTTCACCCATGGGTCAAACGAATCTTTGTTTGAGAGTTATTGAGTTATTAATAAACGAAAGCAGGTGTGTGTGTGTGTGTGTGTGTGTTGTGGCTGAAAGGCTGCTGCATGCGGAGAATGCGGAGCTGGCTCTTCAGTATGGACTGAAGGCCCCAGGGCCACAGCTCCTTCTCCTGGTGTCAGCGCAGCGTTGTCCCCTAACCCCAGCGCTCGTACATCAACCTGAGCGCAACGTTGCGCTTCGCATCAGCCGTCAACGTCCTGGCCGCGTTCCCCCTGCCCCCCCCCAAAAAGCTCATATATCAGCGTCAACCCCAAAAAAGACTCGGCTTGACAGGAAGATAAGGTCTGAATCTGTGTCTGGGAGTGTGTGTGCGTGTTATCCACACCCACACACACACACACACACACACACACACACACACTCCCAGACACAGATGTGTGACAAAGTGAAATAGATTCTTTCCTGACGTCCAAAAGCCCTCTTTTTTCTCCCCATCACAGACACAGGCTCATATCTGTGTGACAGAGACACGTTACAGTTGTAAATCATACACACGCCGATGAGCTTGTGCGCGCTACCACACACACACACACACACACACTTGGACGTTATAGCGGTGTCGTAGTGAAATCACAAGGGGGCAGCAGTGTGTCGTCCTCAGCCGGATGCTGCCTCTCCCCCTCTCTGCTAGTTCTAGGTCATGTCTCAAGGGGGATTATTATTCAATTATTAAATGAAGATCGAAACACTATTCCCAATGTCTCCCTCTCTCCATCACTTCTTACCGCTCTCTTCAAATCCTTTCCTGAATTTGTCTTTCTCCCCTTGCTCTCCGTTCCCCTCATCCCTTTCTTTCAGACTGACATAAAGGGAAGATTAATTGTTCAACATTCATCCTTTGCTCTCTTCCTCCTCTCCTCTCCTCTCCTCGCACCACTTTTTCTCATTACATCATTTACTAGCCTACAGAGGGTATTAGTGGCAGAAAAAAAAGTGGAAAATGCTTCAAGGGAACTATATTTATAGTGAATGCAAAGACAGAGAGAGAGAGAGAGAGAGAAAGAACACAAGTGAGGGATGAGTTTAGTTCCAGCAGGGAGGAGTGAATGCAAATTTAGTAAAAGAGCAGAAAGAGCCAGAACGGAGGGAACAGAAAAAAAAAGGAGGCGGTTGGAGAGTTTTACGCTACCAAAGAAAAGCAAGTTCTCTGAGATGAAGGGATGATCGCAGAAAGAAAGAGAGAAAAATGAGGAGGAGGGCAACTCGGAACATCTTGAGTAATCTGAAAGTAAATCACTTCTCTAAGATAAAAGCTGTCTTTAGGATTCCCACTGTGTATGAGTGTGTGTTTATGTGTGTGTATAAATGTGCGCCTGCTTTGGTTTGTGTGCATTTCTATGTGACACCAAAGCATCTCACCTGCCAACCTTTTACATTTGATGTAGTGACATCTTTGTGTTTCTGACACACACACACACATATACACACACACATGTACACACACACATAAAATAAAAAAGGGATGATTTAACAGAAGTGTGTTTTAAAAGCTACTCCAATATCGTGTAAAAGGAGGAGGAGAATCCGTGAACGTTACAGTAATCTGTCTCAGAACACATTACGCTTTAGTTTCAGGCTGTGGATAAGCAGAAGATAGACGACTGAAGAGGCAGATTGTGTTGAAGAGAGGATGCTTTCGAAGATTAAAGGTATTAGAAACACGATCTTTAATCATACCTCTGCTGTTTCATTTGTATGCACTGAATACAGTGATACATTACATGCACAAACATGATGCAGTTCAATACAACTGTCTTGGGCTGACTTTGTGCACCCTTCTTTTTTACACTCTGGCACTGATACTGATCTTTTAGATCACGCATCGGTCAGTTGTGACCAATCCACATGAAACACAATTGAGAAATGTTGGTGTACGAATTCTTTCACTTGAAGTTGAGAATTATGTGTTGTTTAATTCCCATATACATATAGCCCCTTCTGAGATGTGTGTCGTTAAACTGTCATATTAGATTCTAGATAGATGGATAGACAGATGGATAGACGGATAGATGGATGGATGGATGGATAGACGGATGGACAGATGGACGGATGGATGGATGGATAGATGGATAGGATGGCAATAGCTCAGTCCTGGGGGATTCAGCTTGGGAACCGGGGGGGTCGTCGACTCAAGACCCCGCGTGGACCAAGTATGGAGAGCAGAATAGAAGCTGGAGGAATGCCAGTTGGCCTCATGGGCACTGCTGAGGAGGCCCTCTACTGCTCCTCGTACTAACATGGGTTAAATTCACTGTGTACAATTGTGCGATGATAAAAAAATGCATTTACATTTAGAAGAATGTTCCCAATGAGCTCCACACCACACAGTGAGATAAACAGATGTTAAACACTGGTATTGGTTAGTGGTCAACTAGAACCAACTCAATACCGACCTGTATTTTACTGTACATTTTGAATGCCAATGCGTTTTTGAGGCTGTTGTTTGTGGTGTTGTGTTATTGGACTGAATGGTATTAGGCTGCATGGTTAGGTGTTTCTAACACTGTAGCTCCTGCTTATGTCATTCAATTAAATAAAATCTAATTTATATTCGAAAGACTTTTCAAAATAATGCTGTCCATTTCAACAACACTGTAAAGTGCGGTCACAGCCAGTTTGAAGTATTTTGTTGTCTTATCGTTGTAGAGGTGTTTTTGGCTGATGCGTGTCGTTATCAACATGGTTTTACTCCAAATGTCTCTAACCACAGTGTGCAGATGTGTACAGAGAGAGTTCAATAAATCGACTTCAATAATAAAATAGGCAACAATGAAAAGAAAATGCCTTGAAAATGCGACCGTGCTGTGATTTAGGTTATGTGCGTCATGTAAGTGAAGTTTGTTGGATATAAACTGTTTGTTGGCATTGTGCTCTTTCTTGAATGCAAAGTGTGTGTGACGGCCCCATACCAGTCACAATCATATATTCATAATATACTATTCCTTCAGGCTGCTTCAGGTCAATAAATCATATTTTCAAAAGAACTGTTTTTCAGAAAAATCATGATGCTCATTCTATCCCAAACTGTGCCGCCGCATTTGTTTTTTTATTCCCTTTTTATTGTATCGGAGTTTATTGGATCGTAATGCTCCCTGAAAATTCCAAGTGAAGACAGATGGAGAGACACAGCGATACAGAAAGTAAGAGGTGGAGTAGCTTATGAAATGTCACAATGTGTTGCTTTCTTCTGCTCTCTCCGGATGCCTCGCTTTCATTTTGTATTGGATCACCACTAATTCCCTCCGTAGTACGTGACACCTGGTTAGTCAAAGCCGATAGCACTAAATATATATACAGTATATCTACAGATCCACCAGAGGGATGGAGCGATGGAAGGATGGAGAGAAAGATGGGAAGGTTTATAGGAATGAGACGAGGGGTAGTCGGGGTTAAAAGCTGCAGAGTCTGGCCAACAGGGAGCGAGAGGGTGATAGAGGGAGGGAGCAACGGCTAAGAGCGAGATCAAAGTGGGCCTGGATCAATGTCACTATTGTATAAAATCACATTAGAGAATGTGAGAGAGAGAGAGAGAGGGAGAGAGTATGTTGCTTATATAAATCAGTCGTGGGCAATATAATGCCACAGAGTTACCCCCTGCCTGGCTATTATCCGGCCGGCCTGTTGGAGCGCCGTACATCAATAAAACACTTTGACAGTAAGAGCAATCATTCCTTTTTGTAACAAGCGCTTGGAGGACCAGCTTACTCCGCGGTTCTCTGTTGGTAAGATGACAGAGGAAGGGGGGGGGGGGTACTGAGGCGGACTTGAAGCTCAAAGATTTAAGTGTAGTTTTCCTCTTCAACCGGGACAAAGTCATAGCATGGTTTTTGTGGAGAATTTCAGTATTAAACGCATTATTAGTAGGATTTAATAACACCCCTAGCGGTGAGTAGAAGTGTCACAATAATAAATATGTTAGTCACAATATGTTTCCATATGGAATGTACTATAGGTTTACAATATTCTTACTTATAGAGGATATTATATGTTACAGTATATTAACTCATTGGATGTATTAAATCATAGACGTATAGTCACTGTAGGTATTAAAACACTAAGAATAGTTTTGAGGGTCAGATAGGGATTCTGAGTGAGGTGTGAGACATGCAGCAGCAAATGGAGGCGACCTCATCGATGGAGGATGGGGCCAGTGGGACGGTCAAATGCCAAGCTGACCAGCAGGACAGAGAGGAGGAGTCCCAAGATGTTTTGCTAATGGATCGATAATGGGAGGGGACAGAATTCAAATGAAGC